TAAGCCAGGGCTCCTTAATTGCTCGCCGATTGCTGCGCTTCCGAGCCGCTGCGGTTTGCGTTGCCTGGGGCGCTCGAGGGAAGCCGGCTTTGTTACAAAGTATCCGCTCCTGCCCTGAGTCAATTGCCGCTGCCTACAGGCAATTGACTTGCGGGTTGCCTACTTCCTCTTTTCTGCTGCCTGTGGTGAAATTGACTAGGGGGCAGTGAAACTGAACAGCGGTATTGGCCGTGCAGTGCTGGCTGAATCTGACAGCGATCACATGATTTCCCACTTAATGACCGCTTTGCTTAATGATAGAGCTGCTGGTCCCAATTGTGGCTGCTAAGTGAGGACTACTTGTATATATATTTGTGCTTCAAGTCACTGTTGACTCCTGGTGACTGCCTTGACAAGTCCTTGCAGTTTCCTTGGCAAGGTTTCAGAAGTGGTTTGCCACTGCCTTCTTAATAGGGCTAAGAGACTGGCCCAAGATCAACCAGCTGGCTTTGTTCCTAAGGCAGCACTAGAACTCTTAGTTTCCTAATTCTAGCCTGATGCCCTAACCACTTCACTAAACTGGCTCTGTTACAAACCCATAAAATCACAATTAAATTAAAAGGTTTAAGAGAATAAAAAAGGCTTTTGCCTGGTATGAAAAAAAAATAGACTTCTACCAGACCTCTCACATTAACAAGTGTTCCTCAGTCATTTAACATGCTGGTGTGGGGTTACAGGACCTAACATCTGCTGGATATGAAGACGAGAAAGTTAACTTGAACTTTTTTCTATTTTCTACCAGCCTCTTCCAAGAAGATTACATTTGTTTAAACTGAGAGTGTAAATGGCCCCAAATCATGTTTTGTTTTGTTGCATTCCATTAATACTACCATGCTAATACTTTGTTTAGATAATTGTCTGAAGTTTCGTGGTTAACATTTTCATCACATATTCATCCTGTTAGGCCAGGAGCTAGTGCCCACAGATTGCATATAGCCCAATAATGCTTTAGTTAACAGTTTAGACAGCAAAGATGCCCATCAGTTGGCATAGCATTTGTGCACCTCTGCAGATACCATATCTTCACCTGGGACTTAACCAGATAATGCTTTAGTGTGTGCCTCGGATTTCTTCTGAAATTTAGTGGTGGTTTGTTACCAAAACTTGGGAACAGAGCAACTGATTGGCAACTTTCATGCCAGACACATCTCTTTGTTCCCTGTTTCACCCTACATAATTGTTACTTAACTTTTCTTTTAATTCTGGTTCCTTTCTTTCTGCATGCTGACATTTGGAAACCATGATTGCCAGTAGCATATACTCTGATTTTTAGAGGCAAAGTGCTTTTCTCTTTGTTCTTAAAGATAGTAGCTCTCTTAGGGGAAACCAGAAGCCCATCAAAGTCAATTAGGCATTCTTAAGAATCTTAGAATTAGTACTGTTAATATTTCTAAGTAATTTATAAGTGCAATAAATAGCATGAATTGATTAAAAATTGATCAAAACTGAATAGGAAATTAAAATTTGAAGTATTTTATTTTTAAATATGTATTTTGTTTCTGAAATTAATGGGAGTAATGTGCTAAGGAAATCAAGTGTCAAATAAATGTATCCTGTATTTTTCAGAGGGATTAATATATAAGTAATTAACTATTTTGCAAATTAATAAATGAGGACTGATAAGAATGTTGAAGAAAAGCTGGACATGGATATATGGCCCTACCCATTTTTTGAGTTTGGCCATCAAGATACTACACAGAATTTTGGATCAGAATTTAGATCAATTTATGACTGATTTATGAAGATTTTGGCTTTTTCAAAAGAATTATGATAATCAGAATAGGAAGATAACTCAGGATATTACTGTTTTGTTACCTAATATTAAACGAGCATTTTCTGATTTGAATATACAGTGGAATCTTGCTCTATGCAGTCTGGTTCTTTACACCAAAGCTAACATGATGGGGGACAGCAAAGGACAACTGAACATTTCCAGCATTTACCACAGCATCTTAAACTATATTTTTAAAGCTTTGTTTGAACATGGCCAGTTCATCCTGTATTATTGCAATCATTTAGCTGTGCTTGCTTCAATCTGTTCTTTTGTTTCTGATTAGTCAACAGTCTTTTGTGTCTAGTTATATTTCTAAGATTTGAATTTTATGTTATTTTTTCCTCTTATTTTGACAGGTTATTCTTCTACCAGAATAGATCCTAGTACATTGAAAGTTGTAGGATCAACAAATTTACCAGGTACATAGTAAATGCTATACATTCTTCAAACTAACCTGAAATTTTGGGAAGGTTTTCAACATTGGGTACATTCAGATGATCATATTTTGTCTTAAACTGAAATGCACAGTTCATGCCTCATGAATGTTAATGCCACTCTCTTTTACTACTTCCTGTGAGAAGTGAAAAAAAACCCAGAAACCACAATTCCTATTAAACTTGAATCAACAAACTGTGGTTAATGATTAATCTAAAGACAGCATAATATAAAACCATAATTTTTAATTGTTTTCTTTTCCTGGATTGTTTTGGAAGCCATTAACCATAGTTAATATAGTTAACAGTTCCTTGATCTCCGTTCAGCTGTAATAAGAAATCTGTAGCTAAAAATGGGGCTTCTGACTTGTCTACCATTCTCATAGAAGAACGGAATGTGAGCAAAGCACATAATTTGCTAGTTATAACGAAGACATCCTAGCATGTGAAAGACTTCCCATGTATTCTGGCATTTATGCCAATTAAATATTTCATGCAATCCTGAATACTTAGCAGCTAGAGAACTACTTACAAGCAAATCTCTTTGAAATTAGTTGGATTTACTTCTGAGTAAACATAGAGTGAGCTATAATGTAGTTGCAAAAATGTTTTTAGAACAGTAGAAGGTATTTTAACTACAGTTAGACTTGTAGTTGAAGAAGAAGGCAAGTTATATATTTTTTACATACAGGTAGCCCCGGGATATTAAGAATGCCTGGTTTACAGACGACCCATAGTTAGGAGCCCATTGTAGCAAAATTCGAGTAAAATACACAATGATTTGAGTTAAATACACAATGGTTCCAGTTCATTACACAATACTACTTATACAGTATTATACAATAATACTGTTCTGGCTTACATACAAATTCGACTTAAGGACAAACCTTGGGAACGGAACTTGTTCTTAAACTGGGGACTACCTGTAATCTTCGCTTACCAACCACAATTGGGACTAGCAACTCTGTTGCTAAGTGCCATGGTCGCTAAGTGAAATATGTTACTGCACCAGACTTACGACCTCACTTTTGCTTCCACCATTGAGTGAAGCACTGCAGTCACTTTCGTTGTTAAGCGAATCGCCGCAGTCGTTAGGTGAGACGTGACTGCGATGTGCAATTTCACTTCCGTGTACTCCCATTCTCTTGTTGGAAGCTGGTTGTGAAGCACAGGCACAGTGATCACGTGACCGCAGGATGCTGTGATGTTTGTAAATGTGTGCCAGTTGCGAAGTGCCCAAATGGACATTGCAGCAGTTATACATGCAAGGATTGGTCACAAAGCTGTTTTTTTTCCAACCATCATAACTTCAAGTGGTTGTTAAACAAGACAGTGAGACAGTACAGCTGTTTTTTTTTTTTCTTTAGTAGTTAGCCTGAATAATATTACGTAATGGAGAAATAAGTGTGGTGTTAGATTTGTAAAACATTCTAATTCTTATGGTTACTTTTAGTATATAATTTATAAAGTTACTCCTATGGGTTTTTTTAAAGTACATCTATATATACAGTGACCATATTTTCTTGAAAAAAATAAAGGATAAACTTGAAAAGGGGGCAAATCTGAAAAAGGTTCATAAGGATTTAGAGAATTATGTTTATAACTTCACTTTACAAAGGAAAATTCAAGAGCAAAGCCAAGAAAATAATTAAATAAATCTAAAGGTCAGCATTCTGAAATAAAGGACTATCCTTTATAATAAAGAATGTATGATCACTATATATATAATCTTTGATGATGCCTACGTACGATTGGGTCCAGTTGTTCCTTATATGGGCCATGGTTTACATGTGTTAGTTATGTGTAGGTATTCTGGGAAGTTATGGGTATCTGTGTAGCAGGATACTAAACATTACGCATTAGAATAAATCTTGAACATAGTATTTTTCAGTTTTTAGCATAGTTTTACTTATATAATTGTTAATTTAACTGTTTAAACAGTTAATTTAATTGTTAATGTACTTTCATGTAACAAGTATTAATTAAATTATATTTTCAGTGAAAGTTTATGTCAGGCAGCATCATAACAGTCCGCGTATTCTGTGTTTAACAAATCATCTGAGAAATTCAGAATTGATCGATCCAATATTTGAGTGGCATGGACCAAGTGGTGATTTGGTTACAGGTATTTTCCTCCAATACTACATAATAATGTTTCCCAATTTTTCATGTAAAACAAGGATAGAATCTCAGATTATATATATACTGTTGTATATTAATTACATCTAAGTAATTTAATTTAATTTTAATTACAATTAAATGTAGATAAACCAAACCAATTGTTTTTAACAATTTTGTTTTTGTCTTTGCCTTACAAGTAGTCCTCAACTTATGACCATTAGTTCAGCGACTGTTTGAAGTTACGATGGCGCTGAATGAATGGTTATGACCAGTCCTCAGAGTTCCGGCTGTCCCAGCATTTCCGTGGTCACGTGATTGTGATCTGGGCACTTGGCAACCAGCTCACATTTACAAACAGTTGCAGCACCCTGCAATCACATGATCACCATTTGTGACTTTCCTTGCCAGCTTCCCCAGAAAGTCAGTGGGAAAGCTGGTAGGGAAGGTCGTAAGTCTCCCCTACCCATGGACCTTGCCCCAGCTTCTCTGCACTTGTGCTGGCCACTCAAGCATCCTCACTGTATCTTCCTTGTGCCACCATGTACCCTTGTACACCCTCCCTGAGCCTCGCTGCACCTCCTTTACACCTCCCTGAGCCTTGCCATGCCTCCCTCTCACTCTCACACACCACCTTGATGTGCTTCCCTCGTGCACCCCCTCGTGCCCTCCCCCACCCAGCAACAGCTGCTTGTCTGCTTGCGAGCTGCCTGGGACTTGCAACTTCCTGCCAATTTCCCCACTGACTTGGTTTTGCCAAGTTGCCTCACCTAATGACTGCGGGATTTACTTAACAACTGCAGCGATTACTGCAGGGATTGCCATTGCCAAGTGATGTGTCGCACTTTACGACTGTGTCGCTTAGCGATGGAAATTCCAGTCCCAATTGCTGTTGTAAGTTGAGGACTACCTGTGCTTAAGTTTTGAAGTTCAGCCCCTGCAATTTCATTCAAAGAACAGATGCAGCCCTTGGGCTAAAAAGGTTGTACTCTCCTATTTAAATAGGGGAGAAAGTTGTTATTCACATAGAAAGGACTTAACTTTGGCTATATTATTATTGCTAGTTCACATCTATGTTTCAACTTGAATAATCATAATTCATTTTAATGAAAGTATGAAACTTTTATGAATGCAGCCCATTGTCTCCTCTTTTTATGGTCTTAGATCAAGTATCAACTGTAGATGCCTGTTTTGTCTGCTTAGTAGGTTAGAATCTTGGCTCATTCACAGCAATAAAAAACTGTAAATGAGTAAAATGCTAATTTGTATATGATTATCAAGATATATAAATGTAAGATGTAAGTATATTTAGAAATTATACATAGTGAGACCCAGTATGGTATCATGATTAAGGTTTTGGACTAGAGTCCCAGGTTGTATTCTACCATCACCCACAGAAGCTCACTGGGTAACTTTGGGCTAGTCATTCTTAGCCAGCCTACCTCACAGGGTTGTTGTGAGACAAAATAGGAGGGAGTACTATGTATGCCACCTTGAATTCCTGTTACAAAATGTGGGGTATAGATCTAATAAATACACATTTTATTGTGTAAGGCTTTTATTAAATAATTAAAATATATAAAACCCTTGCTAACCGACAAATCTTACTGTCCTACATCTTCTGCACAGATAATGTCATACAGTTTGGTAATGAAACTCAAAAACATAAATCAGAAAACACTTAGCAACGTAAGAATTAAAAGGTAGGCAGACGTTTCCTGGAGGGCATTCTATAATTTTCTGGGTACTGATGAGTAGACATACTCCTGAATGGTCCCCTAATTTAGCATATAAGGACATTTGGAGCAGAGCCCCTGAAGAATATCTGAAAAGCTCAGGTAGGTGTATATGGGAAGAAAAGATTGAGATCTTTTATAGCTAGTCCTTGCTTAGTGACTACAGTTGGGACTGGCAACTTGGTTGCTAAGCGACATGCTCGCTAAGTGGAAAATCACGTGACTGTGACTAGGCTTTCAACCTTCCTCTCCAGTCATTAAGCAAAGTGACATGGTTGTTAAGTGAACCGCAACTGGGGTTATGATTTTGCGGTACATGTATAACTGGCAGTTGAATGGGGAGCCTGTTGAACAAGTGAATTCTTTCACTTATTTAGGAGTGGCTTTTACCAACACAGGTTATTGGCTAAATTATTTCAAAAGAAGCTTGGTGAGGGCTGAGGCAAGTACCAAAAGATGATATAAACTATTTAATTATAATTACCCAGGTACCTTCACCCCCATATTGAAAATATTTAGGGCAAAAATAGTCCCAATGCTGACCTACAGTATGGTGTGGAATTGTGGGGCTTTACAAAAGCTACCTCACTTGAACAAGTTCAGACCCGGTTTTTAAGAAGCATACTGGGAACGGGTAAGAACATGTCAGCCCCCACGGTCAGAACAGAAACAGGTATCCAGTCCATACGCAGTCACTCAGTAATTAAATTTTTTACATCTATTGGCAGAGGATCCATTCAATGGACCCTGATAGGCTACCCAAAATATGTTTAGCTGAACAGATAAATATGGCTCAACCCACCTCCTGGGTAGGCTGACTTACCAAAGTTATTTCACAGCATGGGTTTTCCACCCAATATTTAGTCTCAACTGCCTCCTAGGCAAAGGAAATTTTTAAATTGAGAGTCCTAGATATCAGTCCCAAACAGACATGGAGTTATTAGCAAAAAATAGATCTTTAAATTGGCTGGCTAAGAGCAAAACCATTTTCAGATTCGAAAAATACCTGTCAATGAGTTTGATGCAATTCTTAAGAAGGGCCTATTCTAAGAGCAAGATTTGAGTTGTTGGATTCCATGGCCAGTTATGGGCGCTTCTATCACCTGCCGTTATTCTGAGAGGACATGTATATGTGGTGCCCCAGCCATTGTAGATATTGCTCACATTTGGCTGACAACTCTATGCCTCTTTTAGGCTTAGATATTTAACATCCCTATTTGAAAGAACAGCCCACTGAAACCTGAATCACGGATTGTCCTATTTCCTCCTGGGCTCTAATGTATACATTTCTGAGCAGAACTGCTAAGTTTATAGACAAGGCAGTTCAGCTAAGAACCCATTATATTGAACAGATCAGTGTATCATGTAAGGTGATGTATTTATCTGAATGCTGATTCTTTGTATTTACTACCTATGTATTTTATTATTGTATTTTCTTTTATCTCTTTTCCTTGGAATTAGATCCTGTATTTTACTTTTATTTTATTTGATATGGTCATAAGACTAGTCAATTAATAAACTACTCTGATACTCTAACGTGGTAGCCCCTCAGATTGTAATTAATAATTGTAATATCAGATGAACTAATACAAATAGGTTAAATAGTTTTGACAAAGGAAGCACCCCATGCAAAATCTAATTTATTGAATCAGATGTTGAAAATGTCCAAGCATTTGATCACTGGCCAGTGAAATGATAAGGATTCTTTGAAGAAGTAGAAACAGCTAATTTGATAAAAAGTATCCTACATTCACTGGGATTGACCCTAGTATGCCAGAAGGATACTAGAATATTTAATTCCTTGCTTGATTCTTAGATAGGCAGTCCTTTGGAAAAAGACAGAAAGATTGCTGAAGAAGACAGATATTTCTCCGTCCTTATTGCATCCGCAGAGTGCCGCCTGGTGGCCCTGTTTGGGATCACTAGATCCCTGCTTGGTAAGGGGGATCTGGTGATTCATTTGCAGGGCTGTGTGGAGGAATTTTCAGAGCATCTGCAGGACAAAATCGTTCAGATCTGTTCCAAGTTAGACTCCGAGTGTGGGGCAGGGTCTGGGGAGATACCAGGGGATTGTTCTTACCTAGTTATCTGGGAACAGTTTGATCCTGTGGTTCCTGAGGAAGTGGACAGGATCCTTGGGACTGTGAAGGCCACCACTTGCCATCTGGACCCATGCCCCTCCTGGCTGGTGAAAGCAGTTCGGGAGGTGACATGTGGTTGGATCAAGGGGATACTTAATACATCCTTGCAGGAAGGAGTGCTTCCAGCTGCCTTAAAAGAGGCATTGGTGCACCCCCTCCTCAAGAAACCCTTCCTGGATCCTACTGTACTGGACAATTTCTGTCCAGTCTCCCACCTCCCCTTTTTGGGGTAGGCGGTTAAGAAAGTGGTGGCATCACAGCTCCAAAGGGTTCTGGAGGAAACGGATTATCTAGATCCTCTCCAGTCAGGTTTCAGGCCTGGTTATGGAATGGAAACGGCATGGATGATCTCTGGCGGGAGCGGGATGGTGGAAGTGCGACCACCCTTGCTGTCCCTGATCACTCAGTGGCTTTCGATACCATCGACCACAGTATCCTGTTGGGATGACTCAGGGAATTGGGGGTGGGTGGCACGGTCTTGTGCTGATTCGCCTCCTTTCTTCAGGGCCGATCCCATTCAGTGGTGATAGGGAGCGAGAGGTCCCATCCTCGGCTCCTCCTCTGTGGGGTGCTGCAGGGTTCGGTTCTCTCTCTGCTCCTTTTCAACATCTACATGAAACTGCTGGGCGAGATCATCCATTGTAATGGGATGAGGTATCATCAATATGCTGATGATACTCAATTATACATCTCCATCCCAGGTGAGGTAAGTGATGCCGTGAC